CCTGCTGAATTAACCAGAGACTTACTTTTTTATTTGCCTTTATATTGCATAGATTTGTCCAAACTACACGTGCATTGTTTTAGTTTATTTTGAAAACTGTATGCAGTTACATTGTGTCAATATACCAGTTTATTCATCTCCTCTCACATTGATGGACATTTGGGTTGTTTTCACGTTTTCGTCCTTGTGACAAGTCCTACTGTGAACATTTGTGTATTGCTCATGGTTATATACCTTGGAGTAAATATTGCTAGATTGAAAATGAATGTAAATGTTTAATTTGAGCCCATTTTACATTCCCATTACCATTCTGTAAGAGATTCTTTGCATTCACCTCCTTTTACAGTACTTGGTACTCTCCAATTTTTTTTGCCAGCTGACTGGGTATAAAATGGTATCACATAGTTATCTTAAACTTCTTGACTATTAATAACATTAAGCATCTCTTCATATTTTTATTGGCTGAAAGTGTTTCCTCTTCTGTTATATGTCTGTTCGTGGCTTCACCTCTCCCATTTTTTTAATCCATTTGTAAGAATTCTACACTTGGAATACCACTGAACTACCACCTATATTTAACTAATTTTAATTTATTAAAGAAGTCTTTGAATCTGTCATTCTTCCTGACCACCCTGTTTAATTTGCAAACCTCTCCAAATTCCTGACCCTCTGATCTCCTGAGGATAACTGCTCGATTTTTCTCCTTTAGCACCTACCACCTTTGCCATATTACATACATATTTATTAATTGTGTTTACTGTCTGTCTTCTCCTTACTGTTACATGTAGGCTGCTATGTGATAAGCATAGAGATTGAGAGTAAGCATTTATAAACTTTCATAACACTTTAATGTTGTTGTCATATTTTATTATATTAAACAAAGACTTGGTCTCTAACAAACTGGAAATTTTTTTAAAAATTGGTTCTTCACCACCATTTTGAAAAGCATGGCCTAAGTTCTCATACCTCCACGTCATAGAATTTGAAAGGCACATTTAACAGAACAGAGAAGAAATAGATAATTACCTGTCTTTCTTGGAAAAGTGTTCCTGTTCTACACAAATTATAGTTGCCAACAAAGACGAATATTTGTTTTTCTAAGTTAGTGAGGTGATGAGAGCTTTTCTAACGTGAGCATTATTTTATCAGCATTCCCCATGTTTATAGCTGAGCCTGGCATGTGTCTGTCTGTTATATATATATAGTATCTATCTAGATACTATCTAGAGCTCTTTGAAGTTCATCTTTTAAAATGAAAGGGAATGTAAGCCACTTAATGATATAAAATTCAAGGACCATACACTCTTTGGCTTAATCCTTTGTGTTCTCAATTTTCATGTTTTGAGGTTTCCACCCTGAAGCGTGATCATTAAATTTGTGCCCCACCTCTCTGGACTGTGCACTAGCTAAATGTGCAAGTAGATTTTTGAGAACTCCTAGGTTCATAACCTAGCTTATTAACCCCCTGATTTCTGGGTGACTGTAAATGCGTGCCTTGGGTATTTTTATGCTGTAGTATTTCTACATAAAATGGTAGTGATATTTTATACCTTCTGAAGGGAGTAAAGTTCTGGGAAATTCTTAGATGAAATCTATGAATACTATAAAATCAAAGTAAGATTTCACAATGATTAAATGGCATTTTATTAGAGTGAATGCACAATAGAGAACTGATCTAAGCAGCTGTTTATCAGACCTGTAAATATGTTTGCAAAAATAAAGTGGTAAGACCTGGTTACTTGGAAACAGAGGGCAAAGGTTTCTTTTAAGCAACATATCCTTTATTTCCCAGGTGTTTGCTACACCGCAGTATCTGCAAAGTAGCAAGAGCCTTACTTAGGCCTGTTGGGAGAATTTTATGTGGGTGCTTAGCTGGTACCTGAAATGTATTAATTAATATTGAAAATCACATAATTTACCTTTTTCCTGTTAATGACCAAATGTTTTGCAAGGATAATTTGTTTATTTTTTAACTGGTAAAAGAGTGAGTAGATTGTGACACAATTTCAGCCTAAACCTCTCTGTGAGATAGGATCAGAGAAACAAAAATTTAATATTATAGTGGAAATCAGACAGACCTAGTTTAAAAACTGGTTTTTGTAAACTGGTTTTTGTTATACTTACTTGCTGTCTTTACGAAGATCAACAAACATCTTTGATCTAATTTATCAAATGAAGAGGAATTTATGCATTTTATAGGGTGCCTCTCATGATAAAGAATTGTGGATAATTTATATTAATGTGTCGGAACCACTGTAGGCACTCAGTACATGATAGCTATTGTTATGTTGCAAAAATATGTCCAGTAGATGTGTATGTGCTTATTATATATGTTCCTGAACCATTTTCTTAGACAGATCTTACGGTAATTCTATTGCGAAAAAAAAAAAAAAATTAAAGGCAAAATTGAGAGAGCAGAGATTAGGTGGGGCTGGTGCGGAAAGGACAAGTCTTATCTACGCAGCATCCCTCATGGCCCTGAGCAGAGTTCCACAGCCACCTCTGATGACCTCACAGAGACCTGGAGCTCTACAGAGTACAGCGCGGAAACCATCCTACTGGAGTTTAAACACCGTGGGTGCAAGAACTGTATTGTACTTATTTTATTAACTGATCAGTTATAGCATGTGGTCCTGCAGTACAGTAGGCAGATGAGTGGTCATAGTTTGTTAAATGATTCATTTAATTCAGCTCCCATACTTCACAAATTCTCTGTATTTGACTGCTAGGTGGAGTTATAATTTGATGTTGAATTATCAGACCTTCCAGGAAGCATGTGTCATTTAAGGATGTAATGATAACATCATTATTTTTTCAGATCTAGGTTGGAATTTGCCCTTGACAAATAGCAAAATGATGAGTGATGCAAGTGACATGTTGGCTGCGGCGTTGGAGCAGATGGACGGTATTATAGCAGGTAATCTGCATCCTCTGAAAGACGCAATCGTGACATTTACTTTGCCCTCTTGACCTTTCTATTACAACTCTTTCATTACCTCTCTCCACTTTCATATTTTCATTTATCGTCTCTCTCCAGTGCCTTTAGGTTCCCCACGGTTTCATCTTCGTCCCTCTTTTCCAATTTTTGCCAGAATTATTCTTAAATTTTATTTTAAAATGTCAAAAATTCTAGTACCATCCTGGGCTTCTAATCCAGGATAAAGGTGATTCTGGTCCAGATAGTCTGTGGACTGCACTTGAAGAGATACTGCTCTACCCCAGTATCCAGGAGTGTTTTGATCTCTTCCCTTGAATTCCACATTCACTTTTCCACCTATGACTCTCACATCTATTTATTTTTCCAATTCTTTGCTATTCTTCAGGCCCCTATCTCTAACCAGCCAACCAGATACTCCCCTGAATTGTCCTGTAGACACATCAGTGTCATCATTTAAAACATTAAGCTCATTATGTGTATATGTGTATATGTATAACTGATTCGCTTTGCCGTACACCTGAAATGAACCCAACATTGTAAATCAACTATACTCCAATAAAAAAATTAAAAAACAACAACAACAAAAAAACCCATTGAGCTCATTATCTTTCCTCAGAAGCCCCTCTAGTTGTCTTTGTCTTGGCTAATTTCGTAGTCCTCCATCCGTAAGCAGAAGTTTAAGTCATGCTAGACACTTCCCGCATGTTCCCCCACTTAGTTAATCAAATTCTATCAATTCTACCTCCTACCAAATTCTCCCATTCCCTCCTCTCTAAAATCTGTCTTGTCTGTGCTACCATCGTCTTGCTTTATCTAAATAACCCTCTCACTTGATGTCCCTGACACTCTTGCTTTCCTGCTCTAGTCCATCCTTTTCCAGACCGCCAGAATCTTTTTTCCAAAATGCCAATCTGATCATCGTCTTTTTAAAAAATCTTCAGCAATTCTCTATTATAGAAGCTGAGCAAAAGCAGTCGACTATCATCTCCTTGTTTTCTCATCATAACTGAGGGGACAGACTAGTGGATGAGCCCTTTTCACTCCCTCGCATTCCCCCAGGAGTGGTGGCTACCTAAGGTCTCACGTCATATTTTGTGTTTTGTCTCAAGAGGAGGACCTTCATATATTTAGGAATCAATTACAACGAGGAGATGTCTGAATGGGCTTCGGGTCGGCTTGTCATGCACACACCTGGTGGTCAGGGTCAGGGTACAGTTGGTCTCTACCGGCTACTAGGGTCAGGATATAGTTGTCCTGGCCCCAGCTCCTTCGCTTTTCTGGTCACAAATTGGACTCTACTCTGCTTCGGTGGTTTGAAGAAATCAAAGGTATTTTCCTCTTCAGAAGGTTCTTCTCTTCAGGGGAGTGTCATGCGTGGTTTGACCTCCTTTGTTATACTTCTGTGTCCTGGAGACCCAACTTCAATTGGACCTCTTTTGTAGATTAGACCACACCTTGAGTACTGTATTCGATTCTTAGAATATTATTTTCAAAGTGTCATTGACAAACGAAAACTTACCTAGAGAAGGTAAGCATGAAGGTGAAGAGTTTAACAAACTAAGGAACTGGTTATGTTTAACCTAGAAAAGTGTATTCTTGCTCAGGGCATTATATTGGGTTGGCCAAAATGTTCCTTCAGTTTTTAAGTAAAAATAAAAGACACATTTTTCATTTTCACCAAGAACTTTATTGAACAGCATATTCACCCTTCTGTTCCACTACCTTCTGCCATTTTTTCAGGCAACTCCATAATTCCGTCTTCACAAAACTTTTAATCTTTTTGAGCAAAGAACTGTTCCAGGTGCCTTTTACAGTCTGCCAGGGAATTGAAATTTTTTCCGTTAAGAGAATTTTGTAAAGATCAAAATAAATGGAAATCTGAAGGTGCAATGTCTGGTGAATATGGCAGATGAATCAGAACTTCCCAGCCAAGCTGTAACAGTTTTTGCCTGGTCATCAAAGAAATATGCGGTCTTGCATTATCCTGATGGAAGATTGTGCGTTTTCTGTTGACTAATTCCGGATGCTTTTCGTTGAGTGCTGCTTTCAGTTGGTCTAATTGGAGCAGTACTTGTTGGAATTAATTGTTTGGTTTTCCGGAGGGAGCTCATAATAGAGGACTCCCTTCCAATCCCACCGTATACACAATATCACCTTCTTTGGATGAAGACCGGCCTTTGGTGTTGGTTGGTCGTGGTTCATTTCGCTTGCCCCACGATCTCTTCTGTTCCACATTATTTTACAGTATCCACTTTTCATCGCCCGTCACAGTATGTTTCAAAAACGGAAATATGGTCAAGAAGGGTTTTTTTGCTTAACTTGTGTGGAACGCAAACATCAAAGCGGTTCA